TGGATGAGAGTTGTAGTGTAAGTCGAGTTAGAGCGTCTATGGTCTCCGACACTGACTTGATACTATTGTGACGGGCTCAAGAATTGTATCAGACAATACATACATCTTTTGATGTTGCTGTCCAAAGGTTTTAGATGGTAATCCTCTTCATGTTCTCGTTGTGCGGTAAAGCCACCGTACTTTCAATGCAGCCTTGAAATGAGGGGCACTTGGGGGCTTAAACCCCTCATACGCCCTCGTACAGCACAGCGACGGTATCTTAGGAGAGCCAAGACTCAATGTCTTGTGTCTTTGGGCGTGTGGCGCTGATGACGAAGACCAACTGTCAACATAGTGAGGCACTCCCTAGCGGGGATAAAATCTCTGTGAACCGAAATATCTGGTTTTAATATTGTTGATCTTTTCCATAGTGTCCATGCTACCTGGAGCTGAAACCATCTGTACAGACTGGGCGTTAACGTTACAACATTGTTAGGGACAAGCGAGGTGCCAAGTAAGAGGAGGGCAAGGCGGTCTTCTGGGGACTCGGCCGAGCGACAAACAAGTGCGAGGAAAGATTAAAAGCAAAGGGCACCGGATAGTGTCTTTTGCGGGTAGAGGCCGGAGATGAAGCTGGATTAGGCAGTCGAAAAAGATACCCTGCCTGGGTCCCATGTGAGATCCGCGACACGGTAGTGGATCCGGGGTAGAAGCCTCTGCAGAAGGAGGAGAGATTGATTTTTTGATGAGTGATCACTGATCTGACAGCTCGTTCTAGCAGGGCAGGGTATTCGTCGGTAGCCGAGATGGTACGTACTGCACACGCTTTTCTTCGCACAGACAGATTACCGAGGTCCTATCATGTCCTGTGCTTTCATTGAACCCATGCTCCAGCGGCCGACGCCAGCGGGCGCCAGGAAGTGTTCCCTTGTTTGCGTTGGAGCACTCCTTGACAAGCGGCTTATGGTACGGGTGTAGACGGTGACCTACTGTAGAGCCTAGCGATTTCCAGTCCATCTGGTATGAGTGCAGAATCAAGATGATTCAACCGCATGCCTGGTAATTGTTCGATTTAGTGCGTATCCTGTCCAACGAGCTTTGTCTACCTGTGCGTGCCGCCTCGATATCTGAGCCGTGTTTCTGGTGGTTCATTGCAGCAAGCGACGTCGCGTCGAATCCACCTCGGTGTAAGCAACTTACCAGTTGGTTTGTACCTGGTCGACATATGGATCCATATGAAGCGATACAACTCTGACCATGGCCCGAATATCTTCGGCGCAACGTCGAAAATTATGTACCCATGTCGTCGGAACTTTAATAGAAAGCTTCACGATGCATCCCTGTATCAATTTTTCCCATAGCTTTGTGGCACGTGCTACCCGAGTCTTTGGCAGGTGCAGCTGGAAACTCGTCGGTAGTGGAAGTCGAAGTCAATTTGGAAGGTACCGACTGAGAAGATCCATCCCGGCAGAGCAGGTGCATGATTGGCCGTGATTGGTAGCAGTGCCTTCCTCAAAGGGTAACTGGCAATTATCTCGACCTAACCCAAGTGAAATGCACTTGCACTTGTACCTGGGTTCGATGGCATGTATTGGTGGCTTACGCTTTGTCCCAAACATGAAACAACGAAATTTGAATCGTCATCGAACGACTGTCATTCCCAACTCGTTGTTTTGCCAATTTCCAAGGGAGACAGACAGACTTTCTGGATACGCGGACTTTACGGACTTGAACTCGCAAGTTTCCCAATTTGATACCTTTATTTCCGCCAAAGGGTGTTATCGGAGTGGAGCAATCCATTCTCTCGGGTTTGCTTCATCATGGCTTACACATTTGAATTTCCCCTATCTGTTTACTTGTCGTTCGTTTCGCCGAACATAATGGCGCGTCATGCGTTTGGGCCCTTCGGCTGAGTTAGCTACCACACTTAACTAGGTAGGTAGGTAGGTAGTCACGGCAAGGCTATCGGTAATACCAAGATGCTGCTGACAATTACCGGAATGGACAGCCACACTCTGACGCTATTGAGCACGCCCACAGCGCCCCAGGACGCCTACATATATCCGAGCCTACTCCACTGTTGGAATGACGGCGAAACGATGAGGCGCCAGTGCGGACTAGCGTCAAAAGATCGTACGACTGCCGTGACATGCCACACCTCCTTTGGACCATGTGCCGCACGCGGCCAAGACGTCATATCCATGGATCTGGGGACCTGCAACCTAGGGTCATGGCCGGCACTGCGCGAAAAGCAAATCTCCCCCGGAAGCTGTCGATAGAACCACGGGTGCCGCAACGACGGCTCTGTAAATCTGGTGCAAAGTCTATTCGTCCCGCCCTGGAGATCGACATGAGCTTTGGCAGCCGACCGATAATCATAATCATTCATCAGGGGGTGAGCGCATAATGTCCAACAATTAAGCAAATAAAAGAGCCTCGATGCTTTTTAGAGTTGGATATTCTTATGATGAGTGGGATGATATACCTAAGAACAATTGCATACTATCGCTACCAACGGTCTTACCATGGGAAGACCCTCATGCCATCAAATCAGCACCTCGGTTGCTCCAGCTCACCGTTTTGTAACCAGGAAGTGCTATGCAGCCTGCCAAATTTGGCATCATCAGAACCCGCGAGCACTCCCCCGTGTTATAGGGCTTGGCATTTCATCTTATTGCCAGCACAATCTCAGGTTGGATCTCTTAATTGGGTATGCCGAGCGCCTTATCCACCGCAGCGCTCCTCGGACATGAGTCCATCACAGAGCGTAAGAGTCAATTCCCTACCTCTCAAGCCACTGGCTGGCAAGCGTAATTTCCAGCTACCACCCTAGGCGCTCGCAATATTTACTGAAAGCGGTTCAGATATCATTCTGGCGCTGCTTGGATTACGAAATGATGCAGACATTGAACCATTTAGACAACGGATACTGGCTGACAGTCAGCCTTCCCGCCTACCCGAGTATACGAGCCGGATCATGAGCTCGTCGCTCCGAAGGTGTGACATTTTTGTACCTGAATTGCCAACTACCTATGTTCACCCGCACAATACTGACAGCAGCAGTACAAACTGGGCCAAAAATTTCGGATTATCTATAGCCCATCAGCATTGCTCGGCGACCGGGCATTGAAACTGCTCTATCGTTCCCGTTAAATCATTATCACCAGTCCAGCTTCACGATAATTTATAGTGCATTGGCGAGGTTGAATGTTCGCTCATCTTCTAGTGTCTTACCCCAAGCTGCAGGTGGTACAGATCCATTAGTCCAGACGAAGCCGCTAAACGACGCCGCACTTGGGTCAACGGTGGGATCATTGGAGTCCGACGGACTGAGCTTCAGGGGTCAATATATGCTGTTACTTACTTCCTGACTCAACTACTCCGTACTGTCGCCGGCGTGATTCCGAGTACAAGCAGAGGTCAATGCGATTCATTTTATGACAGTATTCGCACAGCTACAGCCACGACAGACAACAATAACCTCGATGGGCATAATGCACTTATTCCGCCTCCTGCTCAATTATTGCTGAGAAATTGATTACTACCTACAGAGCACTTTTATGGAGCTAGAAGTACTCAACTATGTTGGCTGATTTGAAGTAGCCTGTTGCTTATTTTTATGCTTTCCAGCGGGGTCTTCAGAAACCCGGCGATTCCTTTGTTCGTTCACGGCACTCTGCCTACATACCCGTGGCCTGCCGGTACATGCATGGCATATGTGAGAGCTGTGGGGAGTTGGTTTACAGCAGGGCTTACAGGAGCCAAGTATTTCTGTGTGACATGCTTATACACTTCTACCGACAACGCCACAACACTCAGCGTTCAAAGTCTTTACACAACGCCACGCGGGAGTTTCTGACTGAGTGCCAAGACCAACGGCCCTTCACTGTTTTGCGTTGCACGACATGGAGTGGGAAAAAGAGTTCGATATGAACTCTATTTACTTTAAAAAAGTGTTTCGAGCGTTTAAGCGCGGCTACTGGCGGCCGCCCGTACCAGGATATCTTTCTGGAAGAGCTGAAGTTCTAGACGGGCTCACAGGAACTCTCCTTGGCAGACCCTGGTTCGTTTAGTCTCTCTCCTGGCTACCAAGGGAGGAAGGTGTTGAGGCATTGTTAGCCTGGGTATTTTGAACAAATTTGCGATGGTATCTCTTCGACGCATGTTATTACTCAACTGCTTATCCTGGGTTTTACTTCCCGCTTCCTACTCTGAATCAGGGATCTTGCTGACGCAAGGCGTCACCCCTTGGCGGGTTCCCTGACTCTTGTTGAGAGCTCTCTGGCTGAAATACACCCCGTTTTTAAAGATTGTCTTGTGTGTCGCGCGGCATTCTGGAGCTCATCCGCAATCACCCACAACCCGCTGGACGCTGGCCGCTTGCCGCAACGCCGGCGTCTGGTATCCTGGGTCTTGGGGAGCCATCAGCCGTCAGTTATCCATCTATCAGCCACACACTCCTAGAAATCGGCGTGCCACGCCCACCCGGCCCCGTCCCCCGGTGCCCGGCGACCCATGCCTCTATCCCTGCAGATAGGATCATCGTCAAGCACTGGACTGCTTAGGGGTGTACGAGAGCCGTTGGGTTGGCTCGCACGCCATGTCATGTACTGTACCCACAATGCCGTTGGCGTCGATGACCAACAGCCTGGGATCGCTCGACATCTGCGCTAGTATCCGCAAGTCATCCAGCCTGGGACCCATCATGTCCCATGCAAATAAGGCCACAGATATTCACCGTACACGTGTGGACAACGGCACACCTCTAACGAGGCGCTCCGGGACTCGCATTTCGCGTGGCGGGATTGGGGGACTGGGATTGAGAGACTGGGACAGGGATGCAAACCTCCGTTGGGCGTTCTTTGATCCGTCTTGTCGCAAATCTAAGGAGCCAAGGCCACACCCAGCAAAAGTGTCCACGCCCACGCCTCTACCACGCGGAGGGGCTTCGGTCGTTAACCAAGCGGTTGGCAGTCATCGCCAACCAGCCAATGCTGGAAGTTGGCAACTGTCTCAATTATATCACTTTTCAACTGTCTTGGTTTTTCATCAGATAGAGGCTTCTCTTTCCCTCCCTCTGCACGTTTGTGTCTTCTAACCACGTATACTTGGTGGATCGGCCGACAACTCTGGTAGACTTCTCCTAGTCTTAAACCATCACGCCCAACCCGACAGTTTGGATCGTGTTAGGATTGGTACATCCCCTCCTTTCCCTTCCTAGACCAGCTTGTTCCTGGTCTTGGGCTATCCGTATTAGGGTACCACCGCGTCTTTTACGGTGGCCTGTCTTAGCAACGCTGGCCCCAAAAAGAGCCGCGCCGCTGGTGTAATAATTGTATCCGATCCGAGGGGGATAGATAATTGCTGACCTCCCCCACCAATTATTCGGCGCCGGTTTACATTATTCGACCTTGAAGCTCTTTTATAGCACTGTTTCTCCAGCCTCAAATGCTCTTTTGCTGCCACTCGAGCCATATCGAGTAGTCCTCTCAATGGGTGTCTTACCTAGCATAGATTCTCGTCCTCGTTTGGTTTTCCCAAATACTCCTCCAGAGTCGACAAGCCCAGGCGCATCGACCTATTCTACTAACTCATCTGCGGACCGACCTTGGATCTCGCCAGCTCCTACATCGCCATCCATGAACAACTATGACAAGTCTCTGACAACAGAAATGCCTGCAGATCAGAAGATGAATGGTGAACAGTCAAGGCCAGAGTCGACCACACAAGCTGCGCCTCGACAACAACTTCCTTCCTTGAGTAGTATCTTCGGACCTCCACCACCAGCTGGCCGACCAGCACACTCGCCCCTTTCAGAGCACAACTCTTATTCTACTACATCTCCCCTGGATCGCACTCGTGCGCCATCTGGTGACAGACATCATTCAACATCTTACTTCCCGCCCACGTTGTCACCTTCATTATCACAACCACGCACCTACGACAACAAGTTCGAAGCGGACCGACACCCAGCCCATGGCCTCTCACGGTCTTACTCTGGTTCAGCCTCTCCTAGATTCCGCAATGGCGAGCATGCCCGCCAGGAATCAGTTACTGAAGGGCAACCTGGCCGATGGTCTGTGCACCAGGAAAGCCGATCTGAGTACTCTCTAGGATCTCGAGATGGTTCATTTCGACCACCACAGGACCAGTTTCGGCTTCACTTTCCAAGTCCTAAGGAACGTGTGATTCCCACTTACAACGATCAGGGGTCTTCACAAGGAGCTCCAATCCCTCCACCAACACCAAGCACTACGGCGACTGATGGTGTTCCCTCAAAGGATGGACTGGGCCCCAAGATCTGGACCGGAACACATTTCTTACCTAGATTTGTCAGGGCCACTGAAGTGCCAGGCGAGGGAATGTGCTACTTCTACGATGATGGCAGTCATTGCAAGACAGTAATTGATGGTGAGGCAGTAAACGCTCACTGGGGTGTAACCAAGGCTGGGAAACCCAGAAAACGACTCGCGATTGCATGTGTGACATGCCGTGAGAAAAAGATAAAATGTGATCCTGACTACCCTCGATGCGTTCAGTGCGAGAAGTTTGGTCGCGTATGCAAATTCAAGAATGCGTAAGTTCTGTATCGAGCAGCATCATTCCGAGTTGGATTTGTTAACATTGTCTAGGCCTCGAGGAGGGCATAACACATCACCATCGACACCGCCGGCTGAGCTTGACGATGTCAGGACATTGAATGGGCCAACCATACCCAATGAGAGCGAGAACAGTTCGCCGGTGTCGCCACGAACTACTCTCCGTCCCCAGTCTCCAGAGTCGGGTTCACACAAGAGGCTTCGATCGGGCTATGATAGTTACGTTTCGATGGGTGAGCCAGTGCACGCACTACCGCCTGTTGAGGCTCCCAGACCTCACGTCCCCTTTCAACCTCCCGCAATCGAACTCCCTCGAATTTCCGAAGACGTGCTCAACCAAGCTTGGCGAACTGACCCCTCCCTGTCCGACCCCCAGTCTATTCGTTCTGTGATTTCTCACTTTTTCGTCCATCTCGACAGCACCATGATCGTGCGATTCATCCCCGAGAACGTCTTCAAGGCATGGGTTGTAAACCCGGGGCACCGCAAGACGCCGGAGGATTTGATGATCCTGTACAGCATTCTCGCTGTCGGTGTTGCGCTTTCTGGCGGACCGAAGGCGATCGCTTTTGAGTACGCGTCTGTTGCGCACTATGCTCAGAAGTTAACCACAGCCAACTGTATTCAGTTGGTTCAGACTAGAGTTTTACTGGCACTCTACTATATTTCAATTTCCCGCTCATCTGAAGCTAGTGAGATGATCTCAGCTGCGGTGGCTTCAGCAGCTTGCCTTCAGTTGAACGTTGAGATCGAAGAGTCAAAGGAAGCCGGCCTCATCACATTTCCGTTCGGAATGAACAAGGCTGGGTACTGTGAAGCCAGGAGAAGGACTTTCTGGTCTCTTTACATGCTAGAGCGCCTTGACGGTCGCTTTCCTGACCATTTAGCAATGATTAACGCCGAAGATATCTATACCCGCCTCCCCGCCGATGGTCAGAGCTTCGAGCGTGAGATGGATGGATTCGCTCCTGTCTTCAACCCTTACGTCTCGGGCGTCGCTACCGCGCAAGACCGTGAGCTTGGCATTTCAGCATACCTAGTTCAGATGGTACACATCTGGTCTAACGACGTATGCCGGATTTACAGAATGGCTCGACGAGCGAATGTGATGGAAACGGATCTGGAGCCATCCCAACGAATTCTGAAGCGCATTCAAGAGTGGCGCAACGCCTTGCCTTCCCGGTTGGCTTTTACCGCTTCAAATCTTGAGTCTGCAGCGCTAGCAGGGGAGCTGGGACCTTTCTTGACCATGCACCTTCTTTACAACCATGCCATGATCAAGCTCAGTCGCCATACGCTGGCAGCAGGACGCCTTTCGCCCCAAACTACATCCCACAATATACAAACATGCTATGAACATGCAACACAAGTATTGGATATGGCCAAGGCACTTGTACGACTTCATCGTGGAGGCCAGACAGTCCTTAGTGGACCTGCACCAGTTCTAGCCATGGTTTTGGCGGAAGCTGTTGATGTTTTTACAGCAAGTGGCCGTCTTTCCCACCTAAGTGACATTATTGAGAATGTGCACATGGTTCAGGGAGTGGTTCAGGCCATGTTTGCCATTTGGGACAATGTGCGGAACGCGCAAGAGGCGATTGATGGACGCCTCGCAATGCTGCATCGCATTCGAGAGCGAGGCAGCCAACCGGTCAGTCCCATGGAAGGCTACCGAGTTTTTTACAGTTCTGAAGGACGTGAAGAAGAGAAGATCCTTCGTTGGCAAATCAACAACCCAATGGAGAAGCTGTATCCCCGGGATATGGATACCATTTACTATCTTCAATGATTTGAGCAAGCGGATTGCATGAAATGCCTGGCACTGGCCACACGACGCTGGTTTCTACCGTTTTTGTATCATTTGCATCTTCCTGCATTCACGACACTGCAGGCATGGTGTTGGGCATCACATTGGGGGATATGGCGTTATATACATAGCATACGATGACAGGCAGTCAATTGACTGGCCCTGTCGCTTGTTTGTTCCTGGATAGAGGGACTTGTACTGTTTTCTATATTATCCCCATTGTATGATATATCTTACTATGCACATAAGGGAAGGAGTTCTGGCGTCTTACCCTCTGAGATTTGATCTCTCGAGTGGGCTGAGCGTTCTTGAGCCAGGCAGGCACCAAGATGATTAGGCATCTGGTCCACACAAAGTCTGTTGAAATATAATTGACGTCCAATGTTTTGTTGGACTTGAAGACAAGATGATTTTCGGAGCAAATACTGTTTGCAGCGAGTGACCAACCTGAATCACCTCGAGTGGTTGTTACAGGCTGAGACAAGACCGTCTGGAGCACTTGCGACAAGGGCCTTGAGTAGTTTCATGGATACCATGTCTAGTGTGCGGCGTGATCTTCCTGTGACATGTCCTTCTCATGTTAGAGCCAGACTCCCAAACCCATGTGTCGTTCCCACAGTTTACGGTCAGACGTCTCTTTTTCAAAAGGCCCTGCAACTCGTGCCTACGCGAATGCCTTCCTCCTCACATCAATGGGCGGCTATTCGTCTGCGGCAACGATATGGATCATGACTGACACAATCCCATAGGCGCTGATCTCGTATCTCGGAAGGATCCTCGCATCCTCCAACACACACGAACATGGTACCAAATTCAGTAAGCACAGAGGCTGCTATGCTGGGAACAAGCGCTCGGAAATGCCCCACGAGGGTAGCGTGAAGCCTGTGATAAGAGGCTTGGCAGAGTATTGGTTGGCGGGATAGGGGAATATGTGGGTGAGAATGGACTCGAGGGAAGGGAATCCCAGCATCAACTTTGGGGGAGGGTTTGTTGGTTGGGGGCCGTTGAAGCTGTGGGTTGTGTAAGTGGTTCTTGATGGCCTCAGAGGTGGAACTGAAGGCGGAGGGGGCGGGACAAAGACGGTATCGTATCCTCGGCTGAATGCTCAGCAAGGGCCGGGGGACATTGTAATTTCAAAACCGTAGTGTGATTGAATTCTATGCCGTAAGATATTGGTTGTTGGTTGTAAATGATGCCTAACTTGATCACGATACTACTGCTTGCTTGACCAACGTAGCCTCATCTAATTAATACCAACTTCCTATCTCGTCTACTGCAAAAAAAAGCCGACATGACACGTACATACGTGTACCACAGATTGCTTTGCCTCTCGGCATATGAGGTACTTATTTTCCCCAAATAACCTCGCATGTTCTCCATGTACATCATCATGAAAGTCTGGATCTGCAAGGTGGCCTATGGTTACACTGCAGTGACCTTTTTTCGTACATAGTAGGTAACGGTCGAGTGTTGAGGAGGGGGGGGAGTGTGGCTATCGGTATAATTAGCCCGATTTCCCTTACGGCAACGTCCATAATCATCGGGTTGCATAGAGATATGCAGCTAGCCTGATTAGGTAATGCACTGGAAACATGCATCTGCCGCAGAAACGTCAGAGCTTCCTTCATCTCACTCTTTACTTGACAATATCAATAATTATCAATATCTTGAAATGGGGTTTCCCGATAAGCCATCTGCTCATCTTTTGGGCGCTAATGGTCAGTTCCTCCATATCTTTACTCTTGGCTTCAGGCGTGGCGTATCTATCCCATCATATCGTATCATGTCATATCCCACCAACTTATAGCAATTTCAAGGCATATGCCGCGCTGTCGCTTACACTAACACACACTGAAAGGCCCGGTCCATGCCCTTGCATACTCCGCCTCTCCAGGCACCTACATCCTCACCGGTTCCGCGGACCGATCCATCCGCCTCTACAACCCATTTCCCAGCACATCTGGTCCCGGTGATCGTCACAGCGTTGTTCCTCAGGGTCGACTGATTCAGACTTATGCTGCTCACGGCTATGAAGTGTTGAGCCTCTCTGTCGCTGCCGATAATCAACGGTTTGTGTCGGCTGGCGGTGATCGCAGCGTGTTCCTTTGGGACGTGAGCACTGCTGTTACGACTAAGCGATTTGGTGGTAACGTTCATGGCCACACGGCTCGTATTAATTGTGTGAGCTTTGCGGGAGAAGGTGATTCTATTATTGTCAGCGCAGGGTTTGACACTACGGTGAGATTATGGGATACGAAGAGCAACAGCTTCAAGCCTATACAGGTTCTCGATGATGCCAACGATGCGGTAACATGTCTCGCCATCCGTGGCCCTGAAGTCCTCGCAGGGAGCGTCGATGGTCGCGTACGCAGCTACGATATCCGCATGGGAAAAGTCACAACCGATGTGATAGGCGCACCCGTTACGAGTCTCAGTCTCACCCGCGACGGACGCACCATGTTGGTCGGAAGTCTCGACAACAAGCTCCGTCTAATGGACCGCGACAACGGCTCCTGTCTACGCGCATACACCGACCCAGGATGGAAGAACGAAGATGTCAAGCTGCAGGCGCTGCTGGGAGGCAAAGAGAAGTACGTAGTGGTTGGCGATGCCATGGCCGGTGAGCCTGCACCTAACGGACATGGAAGGATATGGGCTTGGGATTTGTTGACGGGAAAGTTGGCGGCCAAGGTGACGGTTCCTTGGGGGCCAGAAGGGTTTGAACCTAAGAAGAAGGCTGTTGGCCGGGATGGAAAGGAGAAGGCGAGGAGTAATGTTGTGAGTTGTATGGCGTGGAGGGAGGATGGCTGGGGAGATCAGTTCTGCGTTGGTGGAACATCAGGCGTGGTGACTGTCTACGGAGCCTTGTAGACATCTTTTATACCCATTACTTTTAAGATCAAGCGAGATAGCGTCTTTGTTTATTCTCGAATCTAATACATCATCATCAAAGGCGTTTTCCAATTCGTACAGACAAAATATTGTCCATCATGATACCCCTTCCAGCTTGCTTGAACATTAATAGCTTTCCACCGGCGCCAAATCGTTATCCAAATTGCCAGAAACCAAAACTCTGTACCCCTTTCTATGCATCAAATATTGTCAAATTTTTATATGAGACAAAGCTTGTTAGCCCATACCGGCGTACTTGAACCAGTTGGGTCGACAGTCTTCTCGATGCAACCAGGCCTCACCGTCAGTGAGACGGCCAGTTACACAGCCCTTACACTTTGGTGAGTTGGGACAGTTGAAGAAGGGGATGTGTTGATATCCAATATCACGGAACCTGAGATGCTTTGTTAGTCTCCTGCATGTGGAAGAAAGGTTGAATACGAACCAATGAATCTTGCTCTGGTCCTCAAATAGACCAAGTGCAATACTATGAACTGGAGCATCACCCCATCGTTCATAGAAGAATCCACCCGCACGATCGAGGTGGTTGAAGTAGTCTTCGTAAGTCTTACTCCTCCAAAATGACATATCCGCAATCTCAAAATTACTCCAGAAATGGCATGTCGAGTATCCCTGAGCCTTTCTGTTCGTTGACGGCCGACGAATATCATCGGTGACCCAAGCTACAGCGCTATTCTCGTGAATTGCGTTAGGATGCTCAGCGAGAAACTTGACTGTCTCGGGCCACAACGAAGGTAAGGTTTTGGGATCGTCGTAGAGGTTGATGGTGAAGCCGTATGTCTTGTTGTTATCGTGCATGTAGCGGAAAACATCGTAGTCGACATCGCAGAAGAAGTGCACGTTAGGCTCGACACGCCAGTAGTAGCGAATGTCCTTCAGGGCTGGATGCTTGTAGAAGAGACCGCTGTTCCATCGACACATTTGGTGGTATGATATCTTGCTTGCATATTGGACGCCGTTCTTTTCGAGGATCTTTGCGGATTCTTGAAAGAGCTCTTCGTCGATCCAGGAGGGCATGTCCCAATGTTCCTTGGGGATGATTTCTGGTCGTAGCATCAGCATATACTCTTCTCTCCTCTCCTCTCCTCTTCCTAGACAAGGACCTACCGTAGTTACATTTCGCCTTCGTAGCCGCTCTTGTCTTCCTCTTGAACTCTTCCGTGAAAGGCTTATCGTTGAAAAACGTCCAGGGGTAATTAAACTTGGAGTTCCATGTCCTTTCGAGGTCCCTCATCGACATGACCATGGCATCCACCTCCTCGTTCCGCACAAGCGCTAATAGCGTCGCATCGATGCGCTCCGTCTTTTTCGCATCGTGGGCATATCTCGGACTCGTACGATGTAACACTCCTTCTGGTTCATCGGTAGCTGTTATATCAGTTAGCAACAATTGGCGTCGATGCTCTTTGCGACTTACGATCTAACATAGGATCCCGTTCAAAATTGGAGTAGCGATCACCGGGACCTCTTAGCGACCATGATGGAGCAAATATCTGCCATAGAAAGAAACACCAGAGAATGCATCCGCCGGCGATCAACGCCCGAACTGGCCGCGCGACCGTCATGTTGTGCTCGACAGGATATCGCCAGATAAACCAGGTTTACTATAACGCCAAAAAGAAGGGGACGGGGCTCAAATATCCATTAGTGAGAAAAGAACGTACAACTATAGCGAAAAATGGATGTAAATTATCGCTCTAGAGCAAATTGTCTCTGGATTGGTAGAATCGTTTCGAGCTCAAAGTACGTGAAAGGGGTTTCGAATAATTGAAGCTGATGTCACGACAGCTAAGCCAATCAGCGCCGATAAGAGCTATCGTTGTAGCGGAGCTTGGACCCTGTCGACACGACTGACGCGCCATCAACCACTGAAACCCCCGCCAAATAATTCGTTACCAGTCATGATACGACCGCCATTTAACATGATAATGCGCAAGACATGAGACGACCATGGCATTTGCTGCAAGGCTGGGTGCTCTCACCGGAGAGCTCGTTGAGGCTGTCACTAGCTCATCAACCGAGGTATGACAACTCTCAATCACAGCGTTGGAATATGTATTCATGATTCCAGACAAACCCTCGATTCAAGGCCCAGCGCGACGCTGCTTTACAAAGGTTAAAGTCGCATCCATATCTACGAACGAATCAATTCGAAGTCGAGCACCAACTCGACGGTCTAGAAGAAAGATTCCGTGTCAATGGCCGAGATGCGCTCGCTGATGCCCTCGTCGAGCGCCGGGAGCAGCTCCGGCAAATACACTCGAATTTCCACCCCGAAGTTCTATACCTGATTTTAGAACTCTCAGACCAACCGACATATTACTCAAAACTGAGTGACCTAGATGCGCTGAAAACGGGACCAAGCGATTCAGAGCTCGAACTGCGTTGGGAGGATATTGCCAAGGAAGATGGATGGGAAGACGACGCTTCGATGTGGAAGACGATAAAATACACCGACAGTTCAGATGATGAGCTTTACGAAGATGACTCCAAGAGTGAATCGGAGGCCAGCACTGACCTATCTGAGGTCCCGCTTGGAAGAACAGCCGAAGATCTAATTGTCAACCCTGAGGACATGACGAAACTGCACGAGATTCGAGGAGCGCAAGGATGGCGAACAGAAAAGCCCACAGACGCATCGGGCCATGCTCGAAAAGTGCCAGTAACGGAATTCCAGATCGTTCGAGAAGTTTTGTTCATGCTGCAAGGACTCGATACGACACTCTTTGGACCCAATGGCACTGTCAACCCAGCATTTCAGATGGCTCATCTGAAATGGGATACTCACAAAGCTCTTCTGAGCTACTTTTCTGAAGCAGGACGACAACTAGGTATTCTACGTGATTTTGTCAGCAAGTCACAGCGATCATCGCATATTCAAGTTCTTCAGGATACTGTGGCCAAGCGACTCGACGATCTGGATAGAAAGTCAACGGGTATAGAGTCACGGCTTGTTGCGCCTGAGAATAATGTGGTTGTCAGCTTATTGTCGATCAAGGGAGAGTTGGCAACATCGCTTGAACCATTATATTCTCTTTCAAATATCATCGCTCAGATACAGAATGTGCCCAATCAAGGTACATTTCGGTATCTTGAGCTCCTCTTTGACGATGCAAGCATGGCGCAATTGTCTGGAAAGCTGGACGTTTATGAATTTCTGGCACGTATCTTTGTCGAGTGCTTCAATGTCTACCTTCGCCCTATTCGCCTCTGGATGGAAGAGGGCAAACTTATCCCCGGCGACAAGATCTTCTTCGTGTCACAGGCACCGAGCCAAGTATCACCTAGCAAGATCTGGCGCGAACAGTTTAGGCTACGTAGGACGGCCGATGGGAAATTACATGCCCCTAGTTTCCTCCAGCCAGCAGCTGCCAAGATATTTAATGCCGGCAAGAACATCGTTATCTTGAAGCGGCTGGGCCGCTGGATCTCTTCAGGCTCGGAATGGACGATTCAGGAACCTCCCCTACACTATGATACGCTTTGTCCTAAAGGACTTGAGCTTGCGCCGTTTTCAGAGCTTTTCGATGCTGCTTTTGATGCATGGATCCAGACTAAATACAACACATCCTCGACCACGCTGAGGAACACACTGTTTGAAGAGTGCGGACTCTGGTCTGCTCTCGACGCTATGGAGCGGCTGTATTTCATGTCTGATGGTGCCGCAACAGAAGCGTGGACTAGCAGCCTCTTCGGAAAACTAGATGCGCTGGATCCTAACTGGAACAACCGCTATAGCCTGACGAGTGTAGCACAAGAGGCATTCACAACTCTTGTCGACATGACGAGAATATCGATATACATCAGTCCCACGGGGCTAAAGGTGCCACTCCTCAAGGCTCGCGACTCTGTCAAGTCAGTTCTTCCGAGTACAAAAGTCAACTATCGGGTAGCATGGCCGATTCGCATGATTCTGTCCGAAGACAGCAACACCCAGTATGATGCTATATTTACTCTCCTTTTGCAACTGAAGAGAGCTTTGTATGTTCTACATAAGCGCAAGATCCTCGAGAATTACTGGATCGATCATGATAACTGGGATGAGCGCGCTCTTTATTATTCACTACGGAATAACCTCCTGTGGTTCTGCACTACTCTCCAGACCTATCTTGCGACGCTGGTCTTGGCACCTAACTGCGCCAAGATGAGGCAGGACATGCAAGACGCTCACGATGTTGATGCCATGATGAGAGTTCATGCTACATTCTTGAAACAAGTTGTTGACGAGGCATGTCTTGGGAGCAGATTAACACCGATCAGAGAATGCTTTCTCGATATGCTCGACCTGGCCATCAGACTAGAGCAAGCACAAACTGTTAACATGACAAAAGAGACAGAGCGGATGCAGCAGTTTTCTCGTCTCTCGACCAGAAACCTTTCGCCTACGCCTGGAACACCTGGATTGAAGTCCAAGTACGTCGATAGTAGTGATGAAGAGGACGATGCTGAGAGGGATGAATCGAGGACCTTGAAGATGGGCAAGCCGTTTATGACTGTGCTCAAGGAGATTAAATCCGATTATGATAGACACTTGCGGTTTGTTTGTGGTGGCCTACGCAGTGTTGCCAGAGCTACAAGTGATGCGCAGTCTGCAAAGTGGGATATCCTAGCAGAGATGTTCCAAACAGGCTGTCGAGACGAAAGGCCAGGTTACGCTTAAGCCACAATGTTGAGATTGGATATGAATATAATGATACCCCGTGTGAACAACCTATTCTTTTAAACGCCCCGTGAAATGAACTACCATTCATTCTTGAGCTTATCCGCAAAGAACTGCATCAAAGGCAACACCTCATCTCTGTTCATTGGCATGCTCACCTCACGTCTCTTCCACTGCACGACCTTGACATCGTCAAACTCTCGCTTCACAGCATCGACAGCGTCTTCGTCAAGTTGGCATACCAGTACGCTTGTGCTGCTCCTGCTGCGATTTGTGACTGTAGACACCATAGATTGCGGTAAAGGTCCGCCGAGAGATATAGCACCCTTGAACCTCTTGTTACCTGGCGATGTGCTCTCGCCCTCGGAAACATCAGTGACCCGAGGAGTCTTGTTCAAAGAGGCTGCAAGACCAAGAGCGAGTGAACCACCCTGCCCAAACCCAAAGAAAATAATATCTCTCATCTCCCACCCGCATTTCTCAATAAGAAGCTCCCCGATCAACTTCTCCATGATCAATCTCCTAGCCTTCTCGAAACCAGAATCATCCGCAATGTCTCCCGTGCTGGGATCAACAGTGAGATCGTCACCCCAATGATACCCCGGTCTATCACCACCGAGAAGCGCAGCTGGTAGAACAGATGTGCCGCGTACAGAAATGGCGAGAACGCCGGGAAGATTGAGGTTCTTGGCGAAGGAGGCGAAGGGAACATCGTGGTCACCTAGACCGTGGAAGAGAATGAGGAATGTGGTGGTTGATTCTGGTGGTGAGGGGAAGTGAAGAGTGTGAGGGAGGGTGCTTGATAGAGGGGAGAAGTCATCTTCAGTGGGGATTCGAGGAGGCATTTTTGTTGTGAGGAGTTGAAGTATAATGAAGTTGATGGTTGTGATGTTGAAGTTGTATGAATAATGTACTCAGTCGGACAAGACACCTTCAGGCCTTGGATCAGGTGTCAAAAATAACTAATCAAAAACTCTACTAAGATTATGGTAGACTCGCCCAATTTTCAGCTGTACTTACCTAAGCTTTTTTGTCGTTCAGTGTCCAAGTCTCGAGTTTCATGTTTCATCACCGCTTGTAATATCTCTCCCCACAACCCCCACATTTGACGACATACCACAGCACGACAAACGCGAATACCAACAGACAAGTCAAGAATTCCGAATACAAGCAAATAACATAACAAAAGTTTCCGCTATTGTATGGTACTTTGCTGCGCACCCACCTCGAACAATGCTAGAACACTACGAGCTCGGCTCCAATGCGCTTCTTTGCCAATTTCGCGGGAGTCGAGTTCCCATCTGAGACTTCCATGCCCTGTAGTCGAATCGCATAGTCCTCCAAGCCCGTTGATCGCCAGCATCTATGAATACCAATCCCGCAACTTCTCTCGGCTCTCCACCATCTATGAACTGTATCAAACATGGCGCAAGAATGTATGCGCTGGTTTGGTACCACCCGAGCTTGTATTCCTCTTCAGCAGATTGCACTTGAACCGCCCGCCCCAAAACCCCCGACCCAGATTGACCTTCGATGAGTGACGTGTAACGACCCCGTGGTGCAAGTGAGTATCCAAGGACTTTGGCATCTCGTAGCTTGGGGGGTTCTGAGGCTTCAAGGACCACTTGGAGTACGGTCGGGTTCCTGAGACCATCATAGAAGAAGTAATAGACGGGCTTGTAGTGATATGGGCATGGATCAGGAGGATTCGAATTTGAATGAGCATACAAGATACAGCCTTCAGGAGCAGGTTCGTCTTTATCCAAAGATTCTTTCGGCTCAAATCCGGTCGGGGTTGTTTTGGGTGGAACTGGAGGAAGAGGAGGCAGAGGAGGCAGAGGAGGCGGCGGTTTGCGCCCTTTGGCTCCAGGCATGATGATCGACAGAAGGGAAGTTTGAATGACGATCGAGAATTTGAAATTTATAGCGACAATAAGACAAAGTGTGCCAGCTGGTCTTTGTTGGGAGATGATGCTCCAGCGCTGGATTTTGAAGTTGATACCGTTAGAAAGGTATTTGTGCAGGCAGTGTCAAACGCTGTTGACGGAAGCTTGCAGTGCTGAGAAGAACTGTACCTTCAACCACCCTGCCTTCCATCGTCCATAACTTGGTGGTAGGTTCCTACCTAGCACCTTGAGTGTTTCCACAGGTAAGTAGGTAGGTAGGTACTAATGGGTTAATCGGGTTCAATACCTACCAATTCCACGTCACATCAAGGCGTTATTTACTCGAGTTACACAGATGTCAGGGAGAAAAAGCGCAAGACTCTGAGTCAAGGGGTAAAAGAAATGTAACGAAGATCATGTTTATTCATTATCATGCTTATAATAGTAAAATCTAACTCTTGCTTGCGCGCTCATCGGAAAAGACAGTAACCTACCTACCTTGCCTTGTCTGTCTCAACTGTCTTATTTCTAAGTGCTCCTCTTTCTTATTCCTTTCTCTGTAAACCCTTGCATGAACTTATCCTAATCGCAGCACCTCGCTGATTTCTCCTCATCTAAGCTGCGGCGTCCGATCTTATCTGGAAGATGCCTTTTCTTGGACATGATTCACTTTATACATCCAACCGTGTTCATAACGCATCGCTTACCAGCTTATCCTGGTCCAAACTACGGGCCTTGACCCGTGAGGGACCAGGTTTCATCTTGTTCCACTCGCCATCTGCTGTCCAGGTGCCGGCCTTGGTATAATCTCCACTCTCACTTCCATCCATATATGCAAAGCGGAAGTACTCTGGTAGATCCAAAGTGCTGTTTCTGCTCCAGACAAAGCTACGCTCCGCATCAACATCGCCAAAGTATGTACGGAAACGCTCGACGTCGTTTACCAGGATACTGATCCCATCGTACAGCTGCCGTGGCGGCTCGTTCCATGTGAAAGTAATGCTTGACAATGTGTCTGTGCCATTGGCAAGGTGGATGACAGGCTCGTTAATTGCTGGTAATTTTGAGCCCTTTTGAGCATCACCTTGTAGAGCTTCAGAGGTTTGAAGCACAGGATCAAAGCCCCATCGAGCGATACCACTAATGAAGAGACCAACGAGAAGTCCCTGGTATAGAAGGGATGGTCTTGTCTGCATGCTCGTCCCAGGAAGAAGCAGGAGGGCAATAATGTAGTGGTGAATTCGCAGATTGAGGCTCGGAATGGTAAGGGAGATAAGGATGGCCGCGATAAGTAGTGCGTAGAGCTTGAGGTATTTGATCAGGCGCCCTTCTTGCCTGAAGAACCACACCTGCGAAGAGACAATGACGACAAGCACGATTATGATGATAGCAAGGGCTGCCCTGGCGCCTGGTTGCTGATTCAGATCGTGCTTGTTAAGGCGCGAAATGGGGATGAAGCTGAGGGTATAGTTCTCCATTCCACCAACCCAGCATCCGCCGAGCCACAAGATTGTCTTTTCGATCTGTGCTGTGAGACCCTTGAGGGTGCGACGAACACCCATCTTGTCGTACATGACCCATGCACAAAACATGGCGGGGAGGAACTTTCCGATCAAATTGGAGAACAAAGCCGCAACTGTCCTAGATGGAGGCGGGTCAAGTGCCATACCAACAGTCCAGAAGATGGCCGTGAAGATGGTGAAGAAGAAGAGGGGAGCGGAATTGGTGAAGAGAGACAAAACTCCAGCAAAGACGGTTGAAACAGCCAACAAGTCCCATCGCGAATCGATCGCGGAACATTTGACATCTGGAACGAAGCGGAACGACAATGGGAAATAAGAGTCAAATCCCACACTTGAAATACCATGATGTTTAGACGCAGCATAATTCTCATTACGGCCAACCAGCTCAACAACACCACAACCGCCGTCTTGGTTCGAAACGACGCCAGCGTGGATAGCGGCAGCACAGACGAACGAATCTCCGCGGTACACAGGCTCAGCAGACCCATTGGTACCCGGCCCTCCTACGACCATGGGTGCATAGATAAGCTCTTGGTCCCCAACAGCTCTGGGGTTCAAAACATGGTAGCCTTCGCAATTGGCCCTGCACCTGAATGGAAAACCACTGCCATTGAAAGGGCGACAGTCGCTTCCATCCAAACCACACGAGTTCCCAGCGGTCCAGTATGAAACACCGCATCCAATGGTTTGTGGTGTGCCCCATCCTTCGATCTCGCTGGCCATGGTGTCGCGGCGTTTAACAAGAGCGAAAGTGACGAACCAGATGGATAGATAGCAGAAGACGAGCCAAAATCGGTGTTTGAGCTTGGGAATGATGCGCTCGACAAGGACGAGGGGGTATTCCTGGATAGCTGGGAAGAGTGGTTTAATGCGAAAAGGTTGAGGGTTCACAGGACCGCGAGACCATTTCGCAACCCGTTTCGAAGCTCGTCGAATGGGATATGGGACCCAGTTCCATCTCTTCCATGTAGTCTCATCTTGGATAAACCGTGGGGTCGAAGGGCCGCTGTCATCGACTTCGAGTGTCGTTCCGGTGTCGAGCGGCGCATCAGGATGGGCATTCTCGCGGTCGGTATCGCTGCCGCTGACAGGCACGACGCCGACGTCTATAGAATCGGTGCGAGCCATCAGAGGTTGTGATTCTTCGTCGTCTTCATGACTCACCATTTCCGGGAGCTCAATAAGAATTATACAGAAGAAAATATGAGGAATGGATTGCGTATACGAAAGCTAATGGCCTCTGGGCTTGGCTCGGCGGATTTGCCTGCTCCGGAAGACCCGGTGCCGAAGGATGCAGAGGAAATGTGGAGAATGGGGAGCGCTTATCGATGTTCGTGTTTCGTGAGGATCCTATCGTGTCGCACCTTGTTCTTGTTTCTGACGTGAGCGCGGGGAGATACGAGACTGATGATAGGTGATGTTGAGTCGATGATGGTTCAACAATTGATATTGAGGTTTGAGGCGCGAAGTCTCTTTGTCCACTCAGTTACATCGTGTACCTCGATCGCTGAGACATGGGTGTCAGACGTAACCCTGGGGTATCGCTGTATCTATCCGCGAAAGTTTATGATAGTGATTGGTTGAGCATCAGCCCTGCGGCCCGGACGTACCTAGTTCCCGTAAGACGTGCGCTAAGAAGCAGGAACAGTTACAGCGTGCGCCACTTTCATTCGCCCTCAGTAAGTTGTATCATCGCACGCGACCAGACTCTACACATAACGGCCGTTTACAAGTTCTTCGATGACTGTCCTATGACCAAGGGCGCGTATGTTTGAGATGGTTATAATGACACATCTCTATCTTGGAGTGCCAGGGTGACACATGCACAACACTTCAGTTGCTGCATCCATATTCTGTTCAACAGCACGACAGCCCAGCAACCAGGCTCTCGGGAGTTTTCGAGTTCAACTGGCAAAAGACTTACACAATTTCGGTTCACTTCGGTGTAACTTCTGTATCTTTACTCAGCTTCCTTAGGTGTTTGTTATTATTATTATGCTCAAAACAGGCATCGCAAGTCAAGAAATAATAAGTGAACAAATAGACGGACGGCATCGAGTCGTAATTTTGGAGATCGTCTAAACTGCAGGGATTCTGATGGCTATGCTATCTCTCTTGTGTTCTCGTTGACTTTCTATAGGAGCAATGGTGGATACATCAATAACTCAGTCGAACACACTCAAATCATCAAATCAGAGCAAAATGCAAAGTAACCTGCAGCTAAGTTTAGGATCGCTGGCTTTATGCTCCAATAAGTCTGTGCCCTAAATTGCCAGCCGATCTTTATAAAACCCGTCTTTTCCAGTGGTAGGTATTCATCCATATCATCTTCTGCCAAACGTGTGATTTTCCAACCTCATCATATCAACCGTCGCTTACTTGAAGACATGATCACCACTCTCCAGGGACCACTCTCTCAAAGTCACGCCGTAATACATACCGCGGCTTCAGTATTCTCTAGATTGTCTCGGGTCCATATCCCAACACCCCTTGCACGTCTTCCACAGCGCCAATGGCGACCACCCACCTTTCACCTGCAGCATCAAGCCCGAGGACTACGGACGCTTTATCGGCCACGTCGAGTCACGCCACTCTTCCGCGATCTGTCAACGGACGAGAAACTTGACAAACTCATGGCGTCTGCAGCAAGATTCGAGCAGGAACTCAAAACGGTTAGAACTATCAAACGATAAAGGAAATCCCGTTATTGCCAGGCTTCGAGAGGAGCTTGTTAAAAGCACTGAGCGAGAAGATCTAGAGTTTTTGGCACAAAAGGTTAGCGAAGAACATAAGCATGAACTGAGGGAGGCTAGGTTGGTTGGAGTCGGTAAGTAAACACAGCATTCTGTATTAATCCAATACTAAGAATCTACTAGCGAGTTGTGTGGGTTTCATCTTATCTTGTTCATGTTATTAATCCTCTCGTTGGTTGGAGTCGCAGTACCGTTCGTTTCCAAAGACGAGAAGAGGCCTCCAAGCCAGAATCAAAGAGCTTAGAGGAGAAAGTCACACCTCATTCTGGTTCTACAAGGATCTATTGTGGGAAGGCCAACAAAGCCGATCCGGAAACTTCTGAGCTAAGATGTACGTGCCCTCGCCGCCCACTTGAGCTCGATAATACACGAGTGCTGTGATATCTGGTTTCATCATGGAGCGCGCACTCGGGATCAACCTCATGGAGTGTCGCATATGGACCATGCCTTCACTCATGAGGTTTTAGGCCGGCACTGAAGATTCGCAACTCATTTTTTTCTTGTTTTTAGATTAGATACCCTCAACTCATTCTTTTGATCCAGTAGTAGCTCGGCCTAATAGTAGATTTTGATCACAAGATACGTCTGAGTAATCCCATGACTTCTTCACTTTTCGGGAGTATTCCCAAGTGAAGAAAGCCCAGAAAAAGTACCATCTATGGAATGAAACCCTCTTGCTCCTCATACTTAGTAGATTGTATCATAGGGTTAAAAGCGCCTATTGTTTTGACTTTGATCGTGGTTGTTTTTCTTGGTGACTCTCAGCAAGCAAGAAAGCTTCTGAGAGGTGGCCAAGGTG